GACTTTGCTTTTAATGAGCAGGGCTTGAAAAAGTCACTCTCATCTTTTACCACCCTCCTGGAGATGATCACGGTGGAAAGCGCGCGCTTTAGGTGTTCGCTCTGGCTTTGGGTGAGGGGTGGCTGCCTACCAGCCCCCTTCTCCCAGCAGCATTCTTGCCTCCCAGGGATCCCCTAAATGCCCAAACCCAGCCGGTGCCTGCTTTTCACTGGGTTGGGGACCAATGCGACATTTGTCGTCGGTGTGAGCTCTCGGGTTGCTGCTTGGATGTAAAAGGAGTCCTCCTGCATCTTCATATCCCACCTTAGGTCACGTCCATCCTGGGCACTGCCCTCGTATAGGACAGGTAGGGTGTCCCCAGGACGTGGCTGCTCGTCAATGCGAGCATCAGAGGGGACATTTTCCATGGATCCTGGGCTTGCTCCTTGTGGGGCGACCCTAGCAATTGTCCTGGGCACTGCTCAGCGCAACCTTTGAGCTTCTTCCCCTGGCTGAGGTGAGACTGTAACTCTCTCCTCTTTCACAAGCCCTCTCCTGGGGGACTTCCTCAAGCAGCAGGTGAGAGAGAACTGGGTAAGGGAAGAGAAACATGAGCTCATAAGGAACAAGTATTTATTTGCCAGGTCTGTAAGATCCACCTGCCTCGATAAAGGTAATCCTTCACTTCCAGTCTTGGTCAAAAAGTTTCAAGCTTAACCAAGCCCTTGGTCTTGGAGACTAGCACCCTTCCTGCTTTAGTTTCATCTCCAAACAGCCAGCTCCACGGTCTCAGTCTGCTCCCTGAAGAGATGCCAGGATGAAAAATTCCCTCCTTGTTTAATTACTTAAAGTGATCAAGTCAGGTCCCGATCTTCTTCTTGATCTGCTGATCAGGTTGACTTCCAAGGTCTCACATTGTACCGTAGGGTGTGTTTCTGGTTTCAGCTCATTCCTTTCAGCCACATCCAGTGTTTCAGCATCCCTTGGCAGCGCTGATTGCCGAGACTGGGGCTATGGGTTTCCTTAAAGCCCACAAACAGGTCTTTTCAACCGTGTAACTTTTCTGTGCATGCAAGTACAGGGGATTTTTTTTTTTTTAACTGCAATGGCTTTAACCATCACTGCAAGCTGGGCAGGGCATAGGATGTTGGCAGACAGAATTGCAAGAGTTTCTGGGGTTTCTCTCTTTTGCATTTATATTATTTAATCAACTGCAGTGCAAAAATGTGAAGAGAAATATGTGTGGTTTTGCAATCAAAGTCCTTGCAGGGAGAAGTTGAGGGGAGTGCTGCAGACATCTTAAACTCTAATCGATGTCTGCTCCAATTTGAGGCTACATCTTCAGTTCCCGTTATGTGAAGTGGAGGGGGGGCTGGTTTCCATCCTGTTACAGTTTGAAGCACATTGAATCCCCACTTCCCCCAAAAACGCCACTGATGGGTTTCCTGGGATGCTGAGAAAATTTTGGATTTCCCAAATTTGGATTTCTTTCTCTTTCTTCCTAGAGAGAGACTCCAGCCAAAGGCAGCTGGGAGGGGTGGGGGAGACAATGTTCAAATCCAAGAAAAGCAGCAGAAATTGGGCAACTTTTCCTTCGAGGTTGTGGCAGTGGGCTCAGGAGCAGTGCTGAGCTGCGCTCCTGAGCCCGGGCTGGGCTGTGCTGCCGATGGGGAGCGGGACCCTCGCTGGCCCCGTGGCCTTCGGGGATGCTGGCATCGCAGCAGCAGCCTTGCTACAGGCTAGAGTTACATATAGAAGTCATTTATTTTTAATACATGTATAACACAGCACTTACAAAACTTATAAAATGTACTATAAAATAGGGGACGGCAGCTGCAGTGTGGGGAGAGGGAATTGGCCGGTGGGGTTCGACCCCCTGTTCACAGCAAGGCCAGGGCTGCTCTGTGTTTGCCTTGGCA